CGAGAAATCTTGAACCCAAGCATCCCTACCCATGCTGGTTTAGGGATTCGCAAAATTCCCGTGTCTCTTTACCAGCCTTCCTATCTTCTGTCCATAGTTCAGCAAATCTCATAAGTAAAATTTTAAGGGCAACCCCTTCAAACTTCGAGATTGCTTTTCTGGAAGAAGCTAGAAACGCTTTCTTAATTGCATGCCCTGGTCAAACTTTTCAAGTTTCTCCAAATTCACAGAGATTATGACAATCTTTTGAGCTTTAGTACGGGTTCGACACGTGGTAGGCTTTTAGCCGTGGGTACGCATGAGGCCGGCTACTGGCTTCATGCGTATCCTTCGTCAAATACAGAAACATTTCTTGAGCCTGACATGCTCCGAATCGCAACCTGTATACGGCTTTGGGTTCCGGTCTGCGCTCCTCATAAATGTCGTGTGGCAGTGATGTCGACAAGCTAGGACATCACGGATTATCATGCCAAAAAAGTGCAGGCCGCTTCTCGAGACATGCAGCATTTAACGATATCATACGCCGATCCCTTCCCTTGAGCTATCTGGTATTGGAAGAGAGGATGGCAAGAGAAGGGACGGTATGAGTTTGATTCCATGGAAGATGGGCCGGGTGCTGGTATGGGATGCAACCTGTTCAGACACGCTCACCCCTTCCCATCTACATGGAACCAATATCAGAGCTGGTGCGGCTTGTGAAGTGGCTGATAAACCTAAAGCATGCAAATACAGGGGTCTAGGCTCCGAATATGTTTTTGTCCCATTCGGTGTCGAGACCCTTTGTCCGTGGGGTCTTAGTGCTATAGGGCTTTTTATCGAAATAGCAAAGAGGTTAGTCGACGTCACAGGAGACCGAAGAGCTGGCAGCTATCTCGGACAAAGAATAAGTCTAGCTATTCAAAGGGGAAACGCTGCCAGTATTTTGCCTAAAGAGCCTCTTTTTTTAATAATATATTTTAGTTATAATATATATTCTTTTAAGGTTTTTAGTTTTAGTTTCAATAAAATTGAAGTGTCAATTTTTAAACTTAACTTTAAGTTTGTATTTTTATACATTAAATATATAGTTACCTTTAAAAATGTATTAACAGAAATAACAAAAAAATCTCAATTATTATACTTTTAAATGGAATCAAAAAAACTCGCAGGCGCGAAGTTACCTCTTAAATTCTTCTTTATTTTTTCCGGATAATTTTTCACATCCTCCTGGGTGATTCTCGCTACAACTGCTTTTTTCAATGCCTTTTTTAAATGTTCGTTTTTTTGTGTAAATTAACAAAAAAATGCACAAACTTCGTTTAACGCCTTGCAAAAAAGTTATGAACGATTATAATCGAAGAAGTGCGTTTAACATATTGTTACGCGCCTAAGTTGACGTCATGTACCCGGCACTAGCGCCATCTAGTGTCGGGGACGAGAGCGAGGGGAGCTTTCCCGAAAACGACATCACTAATCTTTCAACCGACAGCGCCATCTAGTCTCTGAACGAAGAACTAAATTTCTAGAAGCTGACACTCGAACTCTCAACCCCTTGCGCGTGTTTACTTGAATATTCTGGATGTTTCGGTGCTAATTTGTATTTATAAGCGCTGCAAGATGCGATCGGGGAAGTATTGAATTTGGCGAGACAAGCGAAACTTCGGAGCGGAATAAAGTGAATCAGTGTGATTAATTATTAATGTTTTAAGTTTAATTAGTGTAAAGTGAATTATAGTGTTAATTTTGGTAATTCAATCGGCAATTTTTATTGTCACGAACCTGAAGCTCGTAACAATATAAACATAAACAATCACGCCTGTCACCCAGAGGGGTAGGCAGAGACTACGGACTTCCATTTGGCACGATCCTGACATACCTCTTTCGATTCCTTTACATCCATATATCTACGCATACATGCTCGTCGGTTAAGGGTACTTCTAACATGGCCCATTTTCAAAATATCGCCAATTTAGTCGATAAACTTATTTCTAGGGCGTCCCTTCCCGACTCTGCCGTTCACATCTGCCATATAAATTTGCTTTGTCACTCTTTCCTCATTCATTCTTTCTACATGACCAAACCACAGAAGCATTCCTTTCTTAATCCTGGCCACAACATCATCTTGCATACCACATCATCTTGCATACCACATTTATCTCTTATCACGCAATTTCTCACCCTGTCATTTAGATTAAACCCTAGCATACTCCTTAAGGACCGCATTTCTACAGCATTTATTCTACTTTGGTACTTTTCCTGCCACACCCAGCTTTCACTACCATACATTAAAGTAGGGGGACTAACACAGCATTATGAGTTACCATACGTGCCTTTTTTGACACATTCTGGTTCTTCATAATAGAGTGTAGTGCCACATTCACCCTATTCCCTGCATTTACTCATCGTTCTATATCCTTATCGTATCTACCATCCCTGCTAAATACACATCCCAAATACACAAACTCATCCACTTGTTCAATTAACTCTCCTTCTATTCTTATTTCACATACCGCTTTGCTTTCTTCTATTTCAAAAACCATCACTTTCGTCTTACTTGCGTTCACTTTAATTACCCTTTCTTTTAATGCCCAGTTCATTAATGTAACCATCATTTGCAACTCAGCCGCCGATGACGCAAATATGACTTGATCATCGGCATACAAAGGGCATTTGACGGTTAACTCGCCCATTCTTTACCCACATTCTTCATCTTTCAAAGTTTGCAAACACCTGTCCATAAATAGGTTGAACAGCCAAGGGGAAGCTACACAGCCCTGTCTGACACCTTTTTGGATGCCAAATCAGACCGAGTAGACCCCATTGATCCTGACACAAGCACTAGAGTCCCTATAAAGAGACCTTAATGCCTGTATCAAACTAGCGCTCAACCCATATGAGTTCAGTGTTAGCCATAATACATTCCTGTCCACTCTGTCATAAGCCTTTTCCAAGTCCATGAACACACAAAAAACTTTCTGGTTTTTGGCCAAAAAACTTCTCCGCAATTATGCGCACGAAAAAGACTTGGTCTGTACACCCCATTCCCTTTTTAAAACCCGCTTGCACATCCCAAATTTTTCCATCAGTTTCTTTCATAACTCTTTCAATTAACACCTTAGCATACAGTTTACCCACAATGATAAGCAAGCTGCGTTGCGTTTATGATCATATTTAAAGTTATAAAAGTATATAAAATCTTGAGGTGAGATATTATCCATATTTTTTCCGTAAATCTGCCGTAAAGACGAAGATTTAAAAAAGTCATCGAAATCGGATGGTTTTTCGATTTTCTAGAGCCAAAAAACGAGGTGACCGCGATAGTATAAAATTACCTTTATTTACTATCGTCACATCCGGTATTGCGTCCATTCCTTTATAAAAAAATTTTTTCTTCATTATTTGATTAAGTATTTTTTTATGCCCACCTTATAACTAGGCCCTTTTCGTTCTGGCAGGGTCGCCATATAATATAGAAAAAGGTGTAAATGAAGAGGAGACGTGTGGTCGGTACTAAAACTTTAATTATATTGCTTTAAATAACTACAGTTTACATTAATATATGTCATGTGGACTGCTCTACATCACAGTCCTTATGTTTATGGGCATAAATAAATCTATGCCCTCAGAATTAGCCAACCTATCCTCCTTTCGACATGGAGGATCGCACACAGTCACTTATCCGACCCCATTCTGATTGAATTTCTGAACTCACAAGTGATGTTCACCAGTTTCATAAGATGGGAGCGACTGGCGGTGCATAATTTGAGATCATCCATACAGAAGAGGTGGGTTACTTTTATCCCTTCCTTCCAAAGCTGAAATCCCCTCTCGGAAGCCTGCAGTAAGGTAAAGAGAGAGTTCAGAGAAACGCAGAACCAGATTGTTAATATTTTCCATAGTTTTCACGCTTGGAAGCTGGTTATCAAACACAGTATCTTATTTTTATCATTCAATTGTTGTCAGGAACAGGCTGCAGTCCAAATCTTGTTAGATTTTCACTCCGTTGCCTCTTACGACAACAGCACAACTTCGCATAATTACTGACATATTGACTGAATCCGCTGGGAATTTTGCGTGATTTCAAAATGAATGCGTTTATTTTTTATTTTGTATATATGATATCGGCCTTTGATATTATTGTACAGTTGAGAGCACAGATAATACATATGGGCATTATATATTGAGAGCTTAAAGTGGAAAACAATCTTAAATGCTTAAAATAATCTCAAAATTTAACGAATTATGGTCGAATTTCGACCACTAGGCGACCGTTACTAATTATAAAAATATGTATTTCGACGTGCACCGGGCTTAATTTGCTAATAGTCATTTTCCGCTTGCAAGATTCTTAAAAACAGCACAGCTCTGCAAATAAAACATTTAACAATGTTGGTACTTATTGCATAATTTGGTGAAATTATTAATTCAATTATAGAATATTATGCATTCTATATTATGCATGAAATTATTAATACATTTTACAAAATTAAAAACACCATTGATAAATATTATAATTACTAACGTACTTAATAATAATTTAACATCCTTACAGTAGCGCTCTGATGAATCCAATTCAAAGCCGGCAAGCCTTTTGAACTTCGACCAAGCTTACATTTAGGATGCTTTCCTGTACTATATTTACATAAACTTCCTGGTTTTAGGTTGCTATTGAGAATGTTTTGACTCAAAAACTGATTTTTTCGGGATCACATAATCAGCAGTCACGTTTACGGTCACTAGACTAACGAGGCAGTCAAACAATTGTTCCGAGTCTACTTCCGGTTTATAAAATGTATCCTGTGGGTCCACTATGTTTATATTTATCCACGTGCTGGAGAAATTCACCCATATACATCCATAAAAAAGTGAAATGTAAATAATAAGCCATTAATATTTATTGTATATAGGATTTATTTATTAATGTATATCAATTAATTTCAATCAGTTGAGTTTTGGTCTTTATAATTTCTTTTATAAGTTTGTAAAAGTATATATTACATATTATTATTTAAATAATGAGTTTATATTGTTTCAAGTTTACTCTTCTCTTTTGATTTAACCGCATCGGCAGCTGCGGCGCCCGCATCGCTTACGGCCTCCTTCGCATCACTCGCAGCACTTTTCACGGAGTCCGCAGCGTCACGTCTTAATCTGTTTTCTTGTGATGGAAATGCAACTGCGACTGCCACAAGCATCTGAAAACATACATCAAAAAACGGAAATTAGTTGTCAACACATAAAATATTTCATTAGCGTTAATTATCTTGGCTCTTGAGGTTGAATAAGGAACACCTATGAAGGAATGATAGGGATGAATAAGTAAGCTCATTTATAACGATTTAAAAGCATATGCATTCAAATTCATGCGATTTCTTTATTAAAATATTTAGATGTTCTTCAAATTCGCAAAACTTGACAGTTTATTAGCCAATTTAGTCTGATTTGTTAGCGTTATGGTAAAATTATATTTTTTATTTTTCTATAAAAGCGATGTCCGGTCTATGAAACAATATATTATTCAAGTGTCTGCCTTAGAAAACAAAAAAAATTTGAATTTGTTGAAAAAAAAATTGAAATTAAATACTTATGAAAAATGGTTATCAGTTCGATTAATAATTTTTTGAGATTGCACAAAAATTTTAAATATTTGACGATAGTAGATAACTTTCCTATTATTTCTCAATCGCCACGTATGTTTTATGGCATGATTTAAAGCCGCAATTCGTCCTTTTGTGTTTTTAATTATCACGTACTTACATTCTCAACGCGGTCTGGAATTTTTGCTCTCTCTTGAAATTATATGATCTAAGGTGAAATGTTAGAAAACGGTATGGCTTCCGGTGGATTGCGTTATAATCATCTCTTTTTTGTTAGAAGTAAATTGGTATTTACATAGGCGTACAACGAGAAAGGCTTAAACCGCTCTCGTTTTTATATCCAGTTGCCGACTTAAACGGTCTACTCCAGCCAGCCTTAAATCGTTGCTGAATATACTTTTAAAGGCTCTAATTAATGTTTGCAGTGAATTGACGGTGATGCTATTCAATATTTAATTTCCTAAAGTGGTAAAAGTCGACTGCAATTCGTCACGTAGCTTGGTGCTTCCATCATATTTTCTAAGCCGGTCTACACATTCAAAAAAGTATAGTAGAATCCATAATATGAAATTATTAATATGTTTTTTACTAAGTGAATAACACTGCTGATAAATATTACAATAATAAACATCATCATCATCATCATCATCACAGCCCTTCACAAGTCCACTGCTGAACATAGGCCTCCCCCAAGTAATGCCACAAAGCACGGTCCTGAGCCACCTGCATCCATCGACTTCCTGCATATCTTACCAGGTCGTCACTCCATCTAGTGGGGGGTCGCCCTACACTACGCCTACCGGTACGAGGCTGCCACTCGAGAACCTTTCTTCCCCATCGGTTATCGGTTCTTCGAGCTATATGGGCGGCCCATTGCCACTTCAGCTTACTAATCCGTTGGGCTATGTCGGTCACTCTGGTTTTACTGCGGATATCCTCATTTCTGAGTCTATCACGCAGAGAAACTCCGAGCATAGCCCTCTCCATAGCTCGCTGAGCGACCTTGAGCGTCCTCATACGGCCAGCAGTGAAGGACCACGTCTCTAATCCGTAATAAACATACTTAACAATAATTTTACATCGCAACAGTAGCGCTCTGATGAATCCAATTCGAAGCCGGTAGCCTTTTGAGCTTCGACCGAGCTGAGATTTAGAATGTTTTCCCGTACTATATTTACATAAATCCGCAAACTTTCTGGCTTCAGGTTGCTTCTGAGAATATTTTAACTGAAAAACCCAATAACTGATCTTTACGGGACACGTAATGAGCAGTCACGTTTACGACCAACGAGGCAGTCAAACAATTGTTCCAGATTTACTTCAGGTTTATAAAAAGTACTCTGTGGTGGTGTGGGGTCTACTATGTTTATATTTATCCATGCGCAATTTTTTTTAATCAAATGAACATACGACACTGGAGAAATTCATCCATATACGTCCATAATAAAGTGAAATATAAATAATAAACCATTCATATTTATTGTATATAAGATTTATTTATTAATATATATCAGTTAATTTCAATCAAAGGAGTTCTTGTATTTATAATTTCTTTCATAAGTTTGTAAAAGTACATATTAATAAAACAGTTATTGACCAACATTTTTCACACTGTCTACAACTTTATCTGTAGTACTCTTCTCTGTCGGTGTAACCGCGTCGGCAACAGCAGCGCCCGCGTCGCTTACGGCCTCCTTCGCATCACTCGCAGCACTTTTCACGGAGTCCGCAGCGTCACGTCTTAATCTGTTTTCTTGTGATGGAAATGCAACTGCGACTGCCACAAGCGTCTGAACACATACATCGAAAAAACCATTTGTATAAAAACGATGTCTGATCTATGAAACAATTTATTATTCAAGTGTCTGCCTTAGAAGATTAAAAAATATTGGGTCTTTTAAAGTTGACGAAAAATTGTTAAATACTTATGAAAAATGGTGGTCTTTTCGCTTAATTATTTTTTGAGATTGTACAAAAACTTTAAATAATAAATTTGACGATAGTAGGTAACTTTCCTATTATTCATGTATGTTTTATGGCGTGATTTAATGTCGCAATTCGCCATTTTGTGTTTTTAATAAAACAGACCGCGTTGGAACATTTGCAACGCATTTTTTTTGCGTAATTTTCTCTTGAAATTATATGATCTAAGGTGAAATGTTAGAAAAACCTATAGCTTCCTATAGATGGCGGTATAATCATCTCATTTATGTTAAAAGTAAATAGGTATTTACATAGACAGAGGGCTGCAGCAGCAAGTGTAGCAAAGTTCCCTAAAAAGAGAAAGGCTCAAAAAGAAAAGAGAAAGCCTCTCTCGTTGTTATATCCACTTGCGGACTTAAACGTTCTACTCAAGCTAGCCTTAACTCGTTGCTAAATATACTTTTAAAGGCTCTAATTAATGTTTGCAGTGAATTAACGGTGATACTATTCAATATTTAATCTCGTGAACGTTAAAATTCGACTGCAATCCGCCACGAAGCTTGTTGTTTCTATCATATTTTCTAAGCCTACACATTCAAAAATTGGTAGAAATAATAAAAACTATACTTACGAAAACGAATAAAAATATTGCTCGGAAATTCATCCCGCCGTGAATATATATGTATGATAAAAAGCAAATAAAATTTAGAAGAGTAACGGTAAATTTTACTTTTAACTTGTTTTTATGAAAGCTGTCGAGCTAACAATGTTAAATATAAACAGGCAGGCCCGAATTTACAATTGCCCTTCACATGAGCCGCAGTAATCAGCGACGGAATAACACGAGTCAATAGGTTTTAAAATACTCAAGGTTTGCGGATAAGGAACGATACAGTTAAGCAATTTCTTAGGGACTAATTGTGATTAAAAAAAACCTTTAGGTGCTTACGGTAATAGAACAGAAAACTTGAATAACATATTTGCGGAGCTAAAGCTTTATTGTAACAGGTTGTTTTTATAAGCTTGAGAACTTTAAATAATAATACAAGACAGAAATACTGTTGGAATGAATTATAATAATCTGGTAGATAATTTCATTGCATTTATTTTTTGAATGTGGTTTTCGGTATAAATCCGCCGCGGCTACGAGTTACATAGTCCTTTCGATCAGTCCAAATTTTCAATACTTCTTCCGATAAATCAGGCCGTATGGCATCAATGGTGGCTTGAATATTGGTTTCCAATGCTTCAAGAGTTGCTGGTTTGTCGACATAAATGACTTAACAATGACTTAACATAGCCCCATAAAAAGTAATCGAGAGGCCTTAACCTCCGGAATATCAGAAAAAAATTATTCGATATTATTTAATACTTAGATTTTATGGTATATCAGGGGCCTGTACATGTCCAAAAATGCAATAAAAATATTGTTTTTTTATATAGCTTTTACCTATGTCATATATATATGACAATGGTTCTGTATATACGATAGTTCGTTCGTACTTACGTCATTACATAATATGTATGTGACACCGGAATTAAACTCCAAATAAAAATTCCAGTATCTTATTATATCAATATGCATTTTTTATTATTATCACGTCTGGTCAGTCTTTATAATAATTTTTATTTACTAATGTGATTTTAGTATGTAAAATAACTTTTCGGAACCCTATGTTTTATATAGTGCCTGTTGCGTGAAATCATTACACTTGTAGTAATATCTAGGCTAATTTCAGCGTGATGAAGACTATGACCTATCAAAATGAATGTGGTGACCTCTCACAAGCGTTTTCTGAAAATAGACTCTTCTCCAAGAGTATATTCTTCTTCAGTCAACTCGGGACAAGTAGAATCTACTTTGTATGCAGGCATGTCTAAGAGAATGTCTTGTGGTGTTGCCAATATAAAAAAAATTAGGACAACAGGATTGGGCTTTACTGGACAATAAAAACATTACGGCAATTATTTCATACTGACCGGTGAACGACACTATCATCTCATCAATGCTTAATTCAATAAGTTTTTCTTGTGCCTGTGTTTCTTGTACATTCCATATCTTAGTTTTTAGTTTTTCTTCGTTTGATACCTCAGTATCAAAAACTACTTTCAGAATTTTTCTTATATTAAAATATTTATTTTGTTTCGTAGCCTTTGTAATAACATAACTCCCGTATTTTTTAGACCAGAATAATGCTATATTTGGTAATTTGGTAGAAGAACTAACCATTTAAATACCGAAAAAGACTTTAAGTTCTTTGATTGTTAAACCCAAGGTGTAGCCTTTTCTTAGTATATTGGTTCTATTTGTAGTAATTATCATTTCTTCCAGGCATTTTACACAATATATCAATATCATCATTGATATATTGTGTAAAATAATCTTCACGTTTCCATGACTCAGTCTCAACTTTTAAGTACAACCGGTTATTAAAACGGGAATTCTAAAGGTACAAACTGACCATTCCATGAGTCGGAGATAGACGTTCTAACTGTAACTGCTGTTTGATGTGAATTTTCTTTGCGTACCTGTAGTTCCCCCTCGTCTCTTTCTCTCCTCTACTATAGAAGATTGCAGAGATACGTCTGATTGTGTAACTATTCACTCAGCTGAAGAGCTTGAAGATGAAGTACTGGATTCTTCGTCTTCCTCAGGTACTTGTGGCATCAGAGAGATCTATGTCTGATTATTTGAGGTGTAATAAATGTTCGTCAACGCATAAGGCTATATATTATACGACACAAATTTTGTCGACGTTCAGCTTGGAGCTGTGCATTTACATCTCTTCGCGCCTGTGTCTGTTCTAGTGTTTCAGGTGCCTTTATAGTAGATTGCCGTTTAGCTTGCTCAATGAGTCTGTGTTGACTTTCATCAGGTGTTTCTGCGGCTCTTAAGGCGGCCTGACGTTCCGCTTGTTCGAATAGCCTTTGCTGACTTTGAGCAGGTGTTTCAGTAGCTCTTAAAGTAGCTTGACGCTCTGCCTGTTCAAGACGCCTTCGCTGACTTTGAGAAGGTGTTTCAGAAGCTCTTAAAGTAGCCTGACGCTCTTTCTGTTCTAGACGCCTTTGCTGACGTTGAGAAGGTGTCTCAGATGCTCTAAAAGCAGCCTGACGCTCTGCTTGTTCTTGCCTTCTCAGTTCAGCATCTTCTAAAGATTCTAGCGATCGAGCTAATCTTTTCGCTTGTCTTTGAGAAGATACTCTTGAAAGGCTGGACTTACGTTTGCGAGGCATTATGAAGTAACATAAAACCTATTTATAAAAAAAAACGTTAAAATACCTAAAATGAATTAAATTTTCTTTTAAACATTTTTTAAAAGCAAATCCAAAATATCTAAAAGGAATAAATATTCCTTTTAAATATTTTTTAAAATCAAAACAACAAAACCAATTCAAGACACAACACGAATCCGAAAACGATAGCCAAAAAAAATCGAATCAACTTAAACCAAATCACAAAACAATTCGCAGAAAACCGAAATCGAAAGCAGTAGTCAATATATATATATATATATATATATATATATATATATATATATATATATATATATATATATATATATATATAACCAAGGAAAAAAGAAGTAAGTGTATAGGTACTGTATACACTATCTATACTATTAATATTCCTTTGAAATATTGTTAAACAACCTAAAACAACGAAAACCAATTCGCGATTTTAGAATCATTTATTTAGATAAACAAAATCCAAAATCAAAGCCAGAGTCTAAATATGTATAAAGGAATACCAACCAAATGAACAAAACCGATCCAAGAAAATATAGAACTCCGAAAATGAAAGCCAATATAAATCCATTCAACCTTAACCAAATCACAGGTAGTCGAATAAGCTACGAAATAGAAACAATTTAAGCGTATAGGTACCGTATGCACTATAAGTTGACGCGCGGCTGAACGGCGGGAGTTAAGTACATGTCAGGAAACATTTCGTTACCGCGTTTTAAAAACCTAGTAACGACATACGTTAGTTAATAAGAACTCTGAAAAAATATTTTTCTTATAATTTTGCACAATTTTTCTTATTGTAATACCGATTCATTCATAACCACATATAAGAACTGTATTCATTTCCGTTCAATAAATATAACTTAGGCTTATTAATAAGGCTTACTAAGATCTGTTTCTATCACAGTTAAGTAACAGTTAAGGGTGAAAGCGTAACAGGTGGTGATAGTATTTCTGATCCATACTTATAATCACGCCTGTAACCCTTGCGGGGTAGGCAGAGCATCAACAGATTACTTAATATCGTCTGCGAGGTTATCGCCTATTCTGTGAATTACAATGCACCAAAACGTTTGAAGAAAATCAGCTGGTGAATTTTATGTTTTTTATCGCTCTCTTTCCTATCCTGTGTGGAAAAATACAGATCCATACATTTTTTATCTTAATTTTGGTAAAAAGACATAATAATCCAGATATTCTGACCTTCTGTGTTCGTCCATCGTACCGTCGTCCGTCTTGTAGAATCACGGTGGCGCCACGTAGCTGAATCTAATTTTGCAACCTATTCGATTTTCCCACGGAAATGATATGTTTTTCCGCTGAAAAAAGTAGCCTATGTCACTCTACAGCCACCGAACTATCCCCATACAAAAAATTATGCCATACCGACGCTCTGTTGCGACGTGAAAGAAGGACAAACTTGTGCAACATATTCGATTTTCCCACGGGAATGAGATGTTTTCCGCGGAAAAGTAGCCTATGTCAGTCCACAGCCATCGAACTATCCCCATACCAAAATTCATGCCATGCCGACGCTCTGTTTCGACGTGAAAGAAGGACAAGCTTTTGCAACATATTCTATTTTCCCACGGGAATGAGGCTGTATAGTGACATAGGCTACTTTTTTCCGCGGAAAAACATCTCATTCCCGTGGGAAATATTCTATTTTCCCACGGGAATGAGATGTTTTTCCTCGGAAAAAAGTAACCTATGTCACTCTACAGCCACCGAACTATCCCCATACAAAAAATCATGCCATGCCGACGCTCTGTTGCGACGTGAAAGAAGGACAAACAAACAAACAAACACACTTTCGCATTTATAATGTTAGTATGGATGAAATAGTCCTTTTATCGAAAAAAATGCTTAGCTCTCAAGGTAGTACGTAAAATAGACGCTAGATTACCTAAATACGACTAATTTAATATAATATTCTATCTCATTCTTTCGCAGGCATTGACTTATATATTGCTATCGTAAGGACCAGGCCGACCGAACAACTAAAACGGACCAGTGCGCTGGCCCTAAAATTGCAGTTTAGGGCCAACGCAAATCGGTCGACAGTGGTGCGCACGCAGGACAGATTTGCTTGTATAAATGTGTCTAGTTGCGTGGTAAAAACATGCAAAAATTATGATACAAAGATTTTTAAAAAACATAGGATATCGTATCATCGATAAGTAACCTTATATTAATTTTGTTACAATTAAATTATTATATAAACGCATTTTTAAAGTTTTATTTTACAGTTAGTTTAGTTACGTTACCAAGATTAGGCCAGAGTTGGATTCAGACCCTCAAAATATTGTACATGGAAAATAAAATATTATTAAAAAAAATTATATCACGTTTGACGTTTCATGTTTCTTTTTTCCCATGTGCCGGGATTTTGACCTCACGTGTTTAGTTCATCTATAC